TGTCGTTGTTGTTTTTAAATTTAGATTGGTAGGTTCATCATCCTATCTTTCAACTGTCCCAGATACCCCAGGCTCATCATAGTGGCAATCTGGTCCTTTCAGGGGATAAAAGAATTGCCTCTTTTTTTCTCTAATTACTAAACAGAGGAGTCGTGATAATAGTATTGGTCATTGTCATTCTAACCCAATATTGATGGGGGTGGTAATTTGGGGAGTGGGATTCACTTCAATTAAATTTCAGTCAAAGCCTTCATGAGCTAAAAGAGCTCCTACTTCTATAATGTGGAGCAGAGAACTAGTTTGTTCATCTTGCTCACAGGAATGAGCTTCTATGCATCTTTATTCATAGATAACATATTTATTTATTAATTTATTAATTAGACTTATATACCGCTTCATAGGGCTTTCAGCCCTCTCTAAATGGTTTACAAATTTTTTAGCAAATTGAGTCAGCAACTTGCCCCNAGGGATTAGAGAGCATTGCATAATCTTATGGAACAGAATTATTAATTCTCTGCCCATGATCAAATATGCAAGTTTTTCCCAGTGTGGATCTCTCTGGTTCGATATTTGGACTACTACTCCAACCCCAATTATAGGGTAGTTTAACAATGTCTATTCAAATAGAATATAACAGAATTGAAAGGGACCTTGGAGATCTTCTAGTCCAACCCTCCTGCTTAGGTAGGAAACCCTATACCATTTCAGACAAATGGTTATCCAATCTCTTAAAAACTTCCAGTGTTGGAGCATTTACAACCTCTGAAGGCAATTTCTGTTCCATTGGTTGATTGTTCTCACTGTCAGAAAATTTCTGTTTATTTCTAGGTTGAATCTCCCCTTGATCAGTTTCCACCCATTACTCCTTATCTGGCCTTCAGGTGCTTTGGAAAATAGGTTGACCCCCTCCTCTCTGTGGCAGCCCCCCCCTCAAATATTGAGACACTGCTATCTGTCTCCCCTGGTCCTACTCTTCACTAGACTAGCCATGCCAGGTTCCTGCAACTGTTCATTGTATGTTTTAGCCTCCAGTCCTCTAATCATCCTGGTTGCTCTTCTCTGCCCTCTTTCTAGAGTCTCAACATCTTTTTTTACATCATGGGAGGTTAAATAGTGGGAGGTTAAAAAGAAATTTGGTTAATTCTTGATATTCAGGCAAATGCTGGGCTGGAACGTAATACAATTACCACATTTTGATCAATTTCCAAGTTAGCCATTCCCTGTGTGTCAACTTGTATAAACTTATGTTCAACCTTGACATCTGTCCTCTATGTTTCCTAATTTAAGGCCAGTTTTTGAAGGAGGGGGAGGCATCTTGAACTGTTTTAAGAATGCACATCCTTGTAGATTAGTCATCCCCAGCCTAAAGCACTCAGGTGTGTTGGCAACAACTAGCATTGTTCCATGTTGGTGTGACTATAATGGCCTTTCCAGATGGTGCAGGAGATAGTTTTACTCACCCAGGGGCCATGAAGCAGGGGAAGCCTGTCTTAGATTATAAGCCATTGCAGCCAACTGTAAGTAAAGTGTTTGAGTAGCTTTGGTAGGAAGCCAAGGTATAACTCTGTGAATTAAGAAGCTGGAATGTGTATTCCTTTATTATGTCATTACTGCATGTGTGTCTTAGTGAGCTGAATAATTCAGCCTCCATTAGAGATATTTAGATCTCCCAAAGCAACTTCCCCCCACAACCTGCCATGTTCCAAATGTTTTGGATTACAAGTATGATGGGCAAAACAGTTCTGGCTAGAGATTCTGGAAGTGTAGTCCAAAGACATCTGTGGATGGCAGTTTAAAACAAAGCAACATTTGCTAAGAGTATTGGCGTAAAGTTTTAGTTCTGCAATTGGCTGGGCAGATAAGAATGTTTATCTGTCTCAATTTCCTATGTCCATTTACTGTCCATTAATTGAAGTCCTTATGGGTTTGTGGAATTAGAGATTTTTCAGCTGCAGTGATTGTCTTTATATTCCTGGTACTAATGCAGCCTTGGTGCTGAGTGCCTTAGATCAGGGCTCTCCAACCTTGGCAACTTTAACCCAATGGACTTCAACTCCCAGAATTCTGGTAGTTGAAGTCCTCCAGGCTTAAAGTTGCCAAGGTTGGAGAGCCCTGCCTTAGATCATACAGTACTGCCTCCCCTCATACATTCTTGTCCTAATAACAGCAGGCATCCAAAAAAACAATAAGTTAAAATGTCATTAATCAGGTCTAATGCAAGGAAAAAAGGAGTTAGGTTACTGTACAGAATCTAGGGAACAAGGATACTTTAGTCCAATGTTTTTCAGTCCTGGCAACGTTGAGATGTGTGGGCCTCAGCTTCCAGAATTCGTGGCTGGGGAATTCTGTCCACACACCTTAAAGTTGCCAAGTTTGAAAAACACCACTCTAGTCCTCATTGATTTCTGAACACATTAAAGCAGGTCTCTGTCAATTGTTGGATCCTTCCCCCCCCCGCCCCCTTTTAATGGATGAATTAATGTTTAGCTTGAGGTAAAGCTGGAATGTCTGCTGTGTTTGAATACTTTTTCCAGGCTTAGAGAAATTTATGTCATCTACCCACTTACGGTACTTAGAATTGCTTAGAAGTCTGAAGTAAAATCTGTGGGTGAATCAAGGCAGATGGCTACAAGGAGAAGGTCTTTTTAAGGGTGAGCCATTGGCAGATATGGTTGGCCTCCATAATGATGTCTTTCTGGTAATTGCTGAAGCCATTTCCCCTTCTTTCAAGCATTTATATAATTGATTTTAAATTTAACTCCTTGTGTTAGCTTTTTTTTTTACTCCCTATTAAAAGTTCTGATCTGTGCTTCTCTTAATTCTTTTGCTTGCTGTATGTGCTTGTTATTCGGAAAAAATGTTGTAATCTGTCCAGAGAACTGGAGTTTGGGATGATTTAAAACAATTCTAGGAGGTGAATTCAGCTCCTGGAATTCTTAGCAATGTGGTTAAGGAATTCTGGGAGTTGTAATCCAGATGTTTTAAAGTTACCAAGATTGAGAAATACTGCTTTAGAGACTGCAAGGGGTATCAAAGCTGGATGTGTGTGCATGTACAGTGATTGTGTGTTAAAGGATGAACAATACAATGTCTGGATTGAGAGTACCAGGGCTCCAGATGCCAGCTGCAGGGGGTAGAGACAGGAGGGAAAAGTATTGGCCCTGATTCTCTCTGCCTTTAGGAAGGTTCTGGAAACATGGCCCTGATGTTGTCCCTTGGACTCCAACAACGGTGACGGTTGCTGCATTGAAACCGGCATAGAATGAATTCTGCTGCTCGTTCTGATTTTCTGTTTTTTTTCTTTAAGACTGATTATGGGTAGTTTTTATGTTTTATATTAATTTTAACTTGTGTTTTTATTGGATTGTTTTCACCTGTTTTGAGCTACATAAAGTCACTTAGATAAGATGGGTGGCCATACAAATTGATTAAATAATGATGATGATGATGATGATGATGATGATGATGATGAAGATGATGCAAAATAATTGAAGATACAAAAATCCACTAACAATCCAAACTGCCGACTTTGCAACAGCAAAGTTGAAACTGTTTCACATTTAATATGTGAATGCAGCCAAATTGCACAAACTGATTACAAAACTAGACATGACCGAGTTGCTAAATTAATCCACTGGTCATTATGTAAAAAAATATGATTTACCTGTATCCAAAAAGTCATGGGAACATAAAGTGGAAAAAGTTATTGAAAATGGGAAGGTGAAGATCTTGTGGGACTTTCAAATACAGATGGGATCATCATTTGGAACACAACATGCCAGATATCACAGTTGTTGAAAACCGAAATGTACAATTTAATTGATATTGCGGTACCAGGAGATGCCAGAGTCGAAGAAAAAGAACTGGAAAAAAAAATCATGAAATATCGCGACCTGGCCATCGAAACTACGTGATTATGGATGGAACATGTAACAGTGATACCCGTTATCACTTGGTACCATGTCCAAGAATTTTTATAAAATACATCAATAAATTGCAGCTTCCTGCAATAACACCAGTGAGACTGAAAAACACTGTGCTATTTGGAACGTCATACATTTTAAGAAGGTACTTGGCTGATATCTAGGATGTTGGCAGCAACCTGTATCAACCATTAGCACCAGTCAGTGGTATTTGTGATGCATTTTTGAATATTCAGTTGACTGAGTTTCATGTTTAATGAATAAAAGGTTTGGTTTATTGGATTTATATGCCGCCCTTCTCCTAAGGACTCAGGGCGGCATACAACATTAAAAAAACACATATTACAAGTTAAAAAAAAAGAATATCCCAAACAAACCCAATTAGGATTAACAATAACATTTAAAAAAATCAATTAAAAGATATAAAAGATATAATAATAATAATAATAATAATAATAATAAAATTTGAGAATCCTCTGAATACCACCAGCATTGATCAAATCATAATCAGTTGATTGCAAAAGGTATCTTTATTTGGAATAGCTGACATCTCGCAGTGACATCTTTAAACATCTTTAAACACAGCAATATCTTTATCATCAAAGATCAACACCTGTCCATTCCAGCTGTTTGGGAAAGATTTGATCAGAGGATAAAAATGCCAAGTTCAGTCTAAGCATCTGGCTGGCTGTGCCACCAACCACAATAATAATATTTTCATCTTCTGTTTTGCAAACACCTACAAACATTGGTTGGGCATCGTCAGGAAGAAAGCTGGGCTAATGAAGCTTTTCTTTCCTTCTTAAGATTTCACTGTGGAGGGTTATTGATTTAGCACTGGCTCTTTTATATTCCTTTCAAGAATTCCCACTGTGGTTTTGGGCATTTAAAATAAGGCTTTAAAGTACTTACTTATTGGAGGAAAAAGTCCCTCCGTTTGTTTGTCGTGGGTGGTTTATAACCCAATTGGGGATTTGTGTTTTTCAACTATAAGGTTTCCATAGTAACATCTCCTTTTCTGACACACTGAAGCCAGCCATTACCTTTAATTGATTTGACTCATTGTTCTTTTTGCAGGTGATTGAAGAAATTGAGGAAATGATGCAAAATTCCCCTGACCCTGAAGAAGAAGAAGAAATTTTAGAGAAGGATGATGGTGGAGACACAAGCAGTCAGGCTGATTCCATCCTTTTGCAGGAAATTCAGGCCTTGTCACAAAGCCTGAACAACAATTGGTCATGTGGAGGTAAGAAGATGTGACGCATTGAAAGGAGCATGTCTTCTCTCTCAATAAAGTGTTGTGGTCCTTTGACAGCTAGTTTGTACAACTATCCCTGAAGCAATTCAGATTCTTCTGCTTGAGAAGTTAGCTGATACATATGCCCACATATTTACAAATATTGTATGGTGAAGAGTAAGGTTTGAGAGAGAAACATTAAGCAAACATGCGACACAACAAATATCTAATTCCCATATGCAATGTCAAGTCATCAAATTTGGGGTGATATTGATTCAGCTGTGTAAAGAAGCTTACTTCTTTTCACTCAGATGGTGAGGTGGTTAATGGGGTGATGGAACTAGGATTGCACGATTCTAGAAGCCAAACTGTCAGGGGTACAAAACTCAATGTAACATTTAGCAGGCCTCTTTCTGTTGTGTGGCTGTGAATATGTCCCTTTGGCTGTCTTTTTTTTTTTTCTAAATTACATAACTCTGGGGAGAATGGCTTGTCTCTGTGATATGCAAGTCTGTTGTGGTTATTACACATTGCCTGCCCCAAAGTTGAATTGCATCAGTGAAAAAAAGAAAGTAATGATATGGATTTGCACAAAAATCTTCTCCTTCTCCCTCTCCTTCCCTCCCTCCCATCCCTTCCCTACCCCTCTTCTTTCCGTGCTCCCCTCCCCGCTCCCTTCCCCTCTCTTCAAAGCAGACAAAAATATACTGCCCCATGTGGTTCTGTTCTATTCTATTCTATTCTATTCTATTCTATTTTATTCTATTCTACTCTACTCTACTCTACTTTACTCTACTTATTCTATTCTATTCTATTGGACTTGACTCTATACCAGTTGATTCTACTCTACTCTACTCTACTTTACTCTACTCTACTTATTCTATTCTATTCTATTGGACTTGACTCGACTCTATACCAGTTGATTCTACTCTACTCTACTCTACTCTACTCTACTCTACTCTACTCTACTCTACTCTACTCTACTCTACTCTACTTATTCTATTCTA